AACTATTAACAAGCAGAGACGGATTTATAGCTATCACAGGGAAAACTACAAATCCTTTGTGGATGGAGCCTAATCCAGGAAATTCCAGACGGATAGAATCTGCTATGTCATCAGGATAAGGACCTCTCTCTCTGCACGATACTAAGCAGCTAACCTCTCCAGCTTTTTACACCCAGGTCCTATAGGATTCTCTGGAAGTCCAGTCAGCTCTTACCCCTCTACTTCCTGCCACGTTTAACGTGTTGCCTTCAAACGTAGCCTCTTTGAGCTCACCGTGTGCTAAGAGAGGAGAAAAGGCAGGACTCGTGGAAGAAAGATGGCGGAACTTCCGCCGTGTCGTTGGGATGTCAAAAGAAGGCCTTGTTCAGGAGTGACGTTCCTTTCGCTTCTCGCGCAAGTGTTTTTATTAGGAACACCCTTCCTTTCAATCAAACACAAAGTGCTGCTTTAACCCACCAGCGGACTGTCAGTGCTGCTTTAACCCACCAGCGGACTGTCAGTGCTGCTTTAACCCACCAGCGGACTGTCAGCGCTGCTTTAACCCACCAGCGGACTGTCAGTGCTGCTTTAACCCACCAGCGGACTGTCAGTGCTGCTTTAACCCACCAGCGGACTGTCAGTGCTGCTTTAACCCACCAGCGGACTGTCAGTGCTGCTTTAACCCACCAGCGGACTGTCAGTGCTGCTTTAACCCACCAGCGGACTGTCAGTGCTGCTTTAACCCACCAGCGGACTGTCAGCGCTGCTTTAACCCACCAGCGGACTGTCAGTGCTGCTTTAACCAGAGGACTGTCAGTGGTTCTTTAACCAACAGTCAGTGTTGCTTTAACCCTGCCGAGGACTGTCAGTGTTGCTTTAACCCAGCCGAGGACTGTCAGTGCTGCTTTAACCCAGCCGAGGACTGTCAGTGGTGCTTTAACCCACCAGAGGACTGTCAGTGGTGCTTTAACCCAGCCGAGGACTGTCAGTGTTGCTTTAACCCAGCCGAGGACTGTCAGTGCTGCTTTAACCCAGCAGAGGACTGTCAGTGGTGCTTTAACCCAGCCGAGGACTGTCAGTGTTGCTTTAACCCAGCCGAGGACTGTCAGTGCTGCTTTAACCCAGCCGAGGACTGTCAGTGGTGCTTTAACCCACCAGAGGACTGTCAGTGCTGCTTTAACCAGAGGACTGTCAGTGCTGCTTTAACCCACCAGCTGACTGTCAGTGCTGCTTTAAACAGAGAACTGTCAGTGGTGCTTTAATCAGATGACTGTCAGTGCTGCTTTAATCAGAGGACTGTCAGTGCGTGGCCTACCAAGAATAGAGCAACAACCCAAGAAGGTGGAGTGGCTTCCACATATCTTAAGGTATAGCGCTAATTTAAACCTCATACCTTAAGGTATATCGCTAATTTAAACCTCATACCTTAAGGTATAGCGCTAATTTAAACCTCATACCTTAAGGTATAGCGCTAATTTAAACCTCATACCTTAAGGTATAGCGCTAATTTAAACCTCATACCTTAAGGTATAGCGCTAATTTAAACCTCATACCTTAAGGTATAGCGCTAATTTAAACCTCATACCTTAAGGTATAGCGCTAATTTAAACCTCATACCTTAAGGTATAGCGCTAATTTAAACCTCATACCTTAAGGTATAGCGCTAATTTAAAAAGGCTGGGTCCTCAGCCCCTACTGCCCAGACTCTACTAGTGCTGGGTACACTGAGAGATCAAGGTCTGACACAGCAACACACACACATACACACGTTATGGCATGACATGGAGATCAAACACGCCTGTTACCATGGTTACCATGCCTCTCTGTGAAGAGATCACTCACGGTGACCCTGTGGCGAACCTGCGGAGACCACAGTCTGGTCGTGTGTATGTGTGCCCCAGTCTGGTCTGGTCTGCAGCACTGGTTCTGGTTCTGTTTTCATTCCCTAACCCTAACCACTGGTTCTGGTTCTGTTTTCATTCCCTAACCCTAACCACTGGTTCTGGTTCTGTTTTCATTCCCTAACCCTAACCACTGGTTCTGGTTCTGTTTTCATTCCCTAACCCTAACCACTGGTTCTGGTTCTGTTTTCATTCCCTAACCCTAACCACTGGTTCTGGTTCTGTTTTCATTCCCTAACCCTAACCACTGGTTCTGGTTCTATTTTCATTCCCTAACCCTAACCACTGGTTCTGGTTCTGTTTTCATTAACCCTAACCACTGGTTCTGGTTCTATTTTCATTCCCTAATCCTAACCACTGGTTCTGTTTTCATTCCCTAACCCTAACCACTGGTTCTGGTTCTGGAGTGAGAGGTGTGGAGATGGGGGCAGAGAAGAGGAGATGGGGGGGGTTCCACAATGTGGTAAGTAGGGAAGAGGGTGGAGAGGCCCAGGAGGAGGGCTGTGATTGGGGGGGTATCAGGTGGTGAGTAGGGGAGGCCCAGGGGAAAGGAGGAGCAGGATGGTGGAGGTCTGGCTATTCCTCCAGGGTTCCCACCAGGGAGGCTGACTGGCCTCAGTCAGGTAAGGCCACCGACATATCATCATCTGACTCTTATTAGCAGCGTTTTGGCTGGTTGTGAGGGGCAGAGGGTTGAAGAGGGGTAGAGGGCTAAAGAGGGTGGAGGAGGGGTAGAGGACTACAGAGGGTTGAGGAGGATTGAGGGGGGGTAGAGGGCTGAGGAGGGTTGAGGGGGGGTAGAGGGCTGAGGAGGGTTGAGGGGGGTAGAGGACTACAGAGGGCTGAGGAGGGTTGAGGGGGGTAGAGGGCTGAGGAGGGTTGAGGGGGGGGTAGAGGGCTGAGGAGGGTTGAGGGGGGTAGAGGGCTGAGGAGGGTTGAGGGGGGGTAGACGACTACAGAGGGCTGAGGAGGGTTGAGGGGGGTAGAGGACTACAGAGGGCTGAGGAGGTTTGAGGGGTGTAGAGGAACTACAAAAGGGCTAGAGGGTAGGGGGGTCTAGGAGGAGAGGGTAGGAGTGAGGGCTCGAGGAGGGTTCGAGGTGAGCTGAGGAGGTTGAGGGGAGAGAGGGTGAGAGGGTTGAGGGGGGGGAGAGGGAGCTGAGGAGGGTTGAGGGGGGGTAGAGGAGGAGGAGGCGTACTGAGCTAGAGGGCTCTGGGGGTGTAAGGTTGAGGGGGGTTGGGGTGGTTGTAGAGGAGAGGAGGAGGAGGCTGGAGGGTGATGTGAGCTTAGGTATGAGAGGCAGGAGGGTACGGCGGCAGGGTTCAGAGGTCTATGGTAGGTGGTGAGGTGGGGTGGGTGGTACGGCCTGTGCTGTTTGCGGTTGGGTTAGGAGGGTGAGAGGGGTTTGAGGGGGGTAGTGGCTGAGTGAGGGTTGAGGGGTGGGGTGAGAGGGCCTGAGGAGGGTGGGGTGATGAGGGGGTGAGGGGGTAGAGGGCTGAGGAGGGTTGTATACAGGTCTGACAACAGCGCTGTGCTCTGATGGCTTGACGCTCTCCAGCAACCCAAAACTGTAATGGTTCCAATTTGTTCCAGCTAATTTATCACCTGCCTGTTGGGTAGATGACTGCTGGCTAGGAGAACCTGGTCCTCCTCTCTCTCTCTCTCTCTCTCTCTCTCCAACTGGTAGCTGTTACTCCTCCAACCTTCTCTCATTGACCCTTTCATACAAGAGAATGAGACAGAAAATGGAGAGTGAGCAGGAAACTCACCCGGGACCTCTAGGGCCGACAGAAGACTGTCAGGAAGAGAAGAAGAAGGGAGAGGGGGATTGAAGAGGAGGAGAGGGCTGGTCAAGCCTTGAACCCTCACTGCAGCTGCCTTCCTCTGTGTGTGTGTGTTGTGTTGTGTGTTGTGTGTGTGTGTGTGTTGTGTGTGTGTGATGAGCAGGCCACGCGGCACAGCGAGGCGAGGCATGGTGAGGGTCAGATCTGAAACCTCATCCCGTTTACATCCCAGTACACACACACACACACACACACACACACGTTACAAGTGTTTCCACTCTGCAGGTTACATCCTTGGAAGGGGAGCTGTGATTGGTCTCGCCCTGTGCTCTCTGTAAACGCTGGGTAAATTGCTGGCAGCTTGCTGTAAACACATGAACACGCTGTACACTAGCTGTGGCCTTGTGGCGGTCTGGTCTGGTCTGATGGCGGTTTGCGCCTTGTTTGAAAGAGACGGAGAGTGAAACAGAAACAGCATCAAATCAGAGGGGCCTTAGGGAACAGAACAGAATACTACCTGGGCTATGTCCCAAATGGCACCCTATTCCCTATATAGTGCACTACTTTTGACCAGAGCCCTATGGCTCTGGGCCACTTTATAAAGTAGTGCACACAAAACCTTTTTATCCTCTCTCCCTCCCCTCCCTCCCTCCCTCCCTCCCTCCCTCCCTCCCTCCCTCCCTCCCTCCCTCCCTCCCTCCATCCATCCATCCATCCACAGGAAGAGGCTGCTCTCCCCTCCCTCCCTCTCTCCCTCCCTCCCTCCCTCCCTCCATCCACAGGAAGAGGCTGCATTCCCCTCCCTCCCTCCCTCTCTCCATTCACAGGAAGAGGCTGCTCCCTCCCTCCCTCCTCCCTCCATCCATCCACAGGAGAGAGGCTGCTCTCCCCTCCCTCCCTCCCTCCCTCCATCCATCCACAGGAAGAAGCTGCTCTCCCCCTCCCTCCCTCCACAGGAAGAGGCTGCTCTTCTCCCTCCCTCCCTCCACAGGAAGAGGCTGCTCTCCTCTCTCCCTCCCTCCCTCCCTCCCTCCATCCACAGGAAGAGCTGCTCACCTCTCTCCCTCCCTCCCTCCCTCACTCCATCCACAGGAAGAGGCTTGCTCTCCTCTCTCCCTCCCTCCCTCACTCCATCCACAGGAAGAGCTGCTCTCCTCTCTCCCTCCCTCACTCCATCCACAGGAAGAGGCTGCTCTCCTCTCTCCCTCCCTCCCTCCCTCCCTCCCTCTCTCCATCCACAGGAAGAGGCTGCTCTCCTCTCTCCATCCCTCTCTCCGTCCACAGGAAGAGGCTGCTCTCCTCTCTCCCTCCCTTCTCCATCCATAGGAAGAGCTGCTCACCTCTCTCCCTCCCTCCCCCCTCCCTCTCTCCATCCACAGGAAGAGGCTGCTCTCCTCTCTCCCCTCCCTCCCTCCCTCCATCCACAGGAAGAGGCTGCTCTCCTCTCCTCCCTCCCTCCCTCCCTCACTCCATCCATAGGAAGAGGCTGCTCTCCTCTCTCCTCCCCTCCCTCCCTCCCTCTCTCCATCCACAGGAAGAGGCTGCTCTCCTCTCTCCCTCCCTCCCTCTCTCCATCCACAGGAAGAGGCTGCTCTCCTCTCTCCCTCCCTCCCTCCATCCACAGGAAGAGGCTGCTCTCCATCCCTCTACCTCCCTCCCTCCCTCCCTCCCTCCCTCTCTCCATCCACAGGAAGAGGCTGCTCTCCTCTCTCCCTCTCTCCCTCCCTCCCTCACTCCATCCACAGGAAGAGTCTGCTCTCCTCCAGAGCCAGTAAACCAAACAGCACAGCTAATTGAGAATGCCTTCCTCCTCCACTCTCGAGTCTCCCGTGTTTCTAAAGGGAGGTAGATAGGGGTGAGGGAGGGAGGGAGAGAGGAGCGGGTAGGGAGGGAGGGATGGAGGGAGTAGAGGGGGGAGCGGGTAGGGAGGGAGGGAGGAGTGGGGGGAGAGGGAGGGAGGGAGGGAGGGAGGGAGGGAGGGAGGAGAGGGAGGGAGGGACCAGTAGTAGCATGTAAGGACAGAACCTGACGCAGGGCTATCCCTCACTGGGCCTGGATCCTTTCTGAACCTAGTGTGTGTGTGTGTGTGTGTGTGTGTGTGTGTGTCATGCTCCAGACAAGGCTGCTGTCTCTTCAACGGTTCAAGGTGAACAGCTCAGTGTTACTGAACCCATGGATTGATATGATCTCACTGATCTACAAAGCCACAGCATAGTTAGTCATGTAACTACATAACTATCTACAGTACCGCCAGGTAATCATGTTTTACATAATAACTTAATCACTACAAGACCATCAGACATCCTGTGCAGTCTCTCACAAGAACCACAACTGACAATGAAGGTTAGAGGACATGACAGAAATATGTCCACCACATACAGGATCTGAATTGATTGGACCTCAAGACAGCACTCACATAGCTGAACATGTGGGTTTGTATGTGCTTGTGTGGGTGTGTGTGTGTGTGTGTGTGTGGTGTGTGTGTGTGTGTGTGTGTGTGTGTGTGTGTGTGTGTGTGTGGTGTGTGTGTGTGTGTGTGTGTGTCTGGTGTGTGTGTGGTGTGTGTGTGTGTGTGTCTGGTGTGTGTGGTGTTGGGTGTGTGTGTGTGTGTGTGTGTGTGTTGTGTGTGTGTGTGTGTGTGTGTGTGTGTTGTGTGTGTGTGTGTGTGGTGTGTGTGTGTGTGTGTGTGTGTGTGGTGTGGTGTGTGTGGTGTGTGTGTGTGTGTGTGTGTCTGGTGTATGTGGTGTGTGTCTGGTGTGTGTGGTGGTGTGTGTGTGTGTGTGTGGTGTGGTGTGTGTGTGGTGTGGTGTGTGTGTGTGTTGTGTGTCGTGTTTGTGTGTGTTGTTTGTTTTTTGTTTGTTTGTGTTGTTGTGTCTGGTGTGTGTCTGGTGTGTGTGTGCGTCTGGTGTGTGTCTGGTGTGTGTGTGTGTATGTGAGGTGTGTGAGACATCCTACTGAGAGACATCCCAGAGAGGCATCCCAGAGACATCCTACAGAGAGACGTCCTACAGAGAGACATCCTAGAGACATCCTACAGAGAGACATCCTACAGAGAGACATCCTACAGAGAGACAGCTCAGAGACATCCTACAGAGATACGTCCTACAGAGAGACATCCTACAGAGAGACATCCTACAGAGAGACGTCCTACAGAGAGACGTCCTACAGAGAGACGTCCTACAGAGAGACAGCTCAGAGACATCCTACAGAGATACGTCCTACAGAGAGACATCCTACAGAGAGACATCCTACAGAGAGACATCCTACAGAGAGACAGCTCAGAGACATCCTACAGAGATACGTCCTACAGAGAGACATCCTACAGAGAGACATCCTAGAGACATCCTACAGAGAGACATCCTACAGAGAGACATCCTACAGAGAGACAGCTCAGATACGTCCTACAGAGAGACGTCCTACAGAGAGACGTCCTACAGAGAGACATCCTACAGAGAGACATCCTACAGAGAGACATCCTACAGAGAGACATCCTACAGAGAGACATCCTACAGAGAGACAGCTCAGAGACATCCTACAGAGATACGTCCTACAGAGAGACATCCTACAGAGAGACATCCTACAGAGAGACATCCTACAGAGAGACGTCCTACAGAGAGACATCCTACAGAGAGACGTCCTACAGAGAGACAGCCCAGAGACATCCTACAGAGAGACATCCTACAGAGAGACATCCTACAGAGAGACATCCTCCATAGATACGTCCTATAGAGAGACGTCCTACAGAGAGACGTCCTACAGAGACATCCTACAGAGAGACATCCTACAGAGAGACATCCTACATAGATACGTCCTATAGAGAGACATCCTACAGAGAGACGTCCTACAGAGAGACGTCCTACAGAGAGACGTCCTACAGAGAGACATCCTAGAGAGAGACATCCTACAGAGAGACATCCTACAGAGATACGTCCTACAGAGAGACATCCTACAGAGAGACATCCTAGAGAGAGACGTCCTACAGAGAGACATCCTACAGAGAGATGTCATCATCTGGACACAGAGCAGAGAAGGAAGTCTTTGTGTGTGATGTGTCAGCCTCTGGAGGTGAATGTGTGGGGTTGTGGGGTTGGACTCCCTGCAGAGATGCTTCAGTACTTCAAACCCTTCTAATGTCCATGAGTGGCTCCATGCTTAGCTGATGAACAGCAGTGGACATCTCCCCTGACAGGAGTTGAGAACTGATGCTTTTAACTTGAGAGTGAGTGTGTGTGAGTGTGTGTGCACTTGTTTTCCTACATTATCAGGACCCCAATGTTCTCACATTTCACCTTCATGTCCTGACAAGGAAGGAAAACTATAACTAAATAACTTTTTTCAGGTCCTGAATTTGTTCAAATGCTATTTTAAGCTTAAGGGTTAGGTTTAGGGTTTTAGGGTTAGGGTTAGGGTTAGAGATTAGGGAAAATAAGATTTCTAATGGCGAAAACATTGTATACTCCAAAAAGTCCTGACATTTCAGGAAAACACAGCTGTGTGTGTGTGTGTGTGTGTGTGTGTGTGTGTGTGTGTGTGTAGGGCGTGAGTATAGACTGTGTGTACTGTAGAGTGTGTGTGAATTGAGTGTGTGTGAGTTCAGTACAGCTCTCCTCACCTGGTCCATTGAGGAAGTCTTTGATCTGTAGAAAGGCCAGAGGAGGGGGGATGCCTGTCTGACTGTCAGTCTCTCCTGCTACTGTCTGGAGCCAGAACACACTGTAGTCTAACGCCTCCGGGAGAGACTTCCCTGGATCTGGAGAGAGGAGGAGAGGGAGAGGGAGCGCGAGAGAGAGAGAGGGAGGGAGGGAGCGCGAGAGAGAGAGAGGGAGGGAGCGTGAGAGAGAGAGAGCGAGAGTGAGAGAGAAAGAGAGAGAAAAGATAACAAATAAAGAGAGAAAGAGAGAAAATAGAAAAGAGAGAGATGATATTATTATTTTGAAAGTGACCGTGATACATCAAAAGCTACACAAGCTCAAGTCCCCCTCTTCTCACCCAGACACTTATAGTCGGAGGAGACTCCCCTCAGAGCCACATCGAACACGGACGCTTCCATCCTCTGTTTACGGTGGTGACAGCTGAGCAGGGCAGAGGGTTGGACAACCTGGATGTAGAGTAGAGGCTCCAGGACCAGGTCTCCAGCCCCTCTCCTCCCAGGCTGCCTCACGATGGTGACCCCCAGGGCCTGGCGGGCTGAGGAGCGGCTGGGGGCAGGCAGGGAGTCCAGGGAGAGCAGGGAGCCGCGGGGCCCCTGGGGCTGGGGAGAGGTGTTACTGTTCAGGAGGTCCTCTGCTGTCAGGCCTGAGAGAGGGACCAGGGTAGGAGGGCCTGGGTTGGGGGAGGAGGAGGCTGGGGCTGGGGTAGGGGTGGTGTAGCCCGGGGTGTCTGGCTGGTTCAGGGCACTCTTCCCTGTCGTCCTGTCTCCATCCTTCTTCTCAGGCGAGGCGGGGGGGGTCTCTTTAGGGGCCTTGGCTAGAGTAGAGCAGGCATAGGTCATGAGAGAGAGTTTACTAGCGGTCAGGAAGATGTCGAAGGGGATGAAGGAGAGGTTCTTGATGATGGTGGACTTCCTGGAGGGTCTAGCGATGCGGTGGTGGGAGGCTCCACTCTGATGCTCTATCTGGACAATACGGATCCTGGCGCTGTCACTGCCGAACCCACTGTCCTGGACCCCGCTGTGACGGGAGGACGAGTCCACACCGCAAGGTCCTGATGAGGAGCTACACTGCTGCTCGCCACGCTGCACCTGGGGGGGGGGGGGGGGGGGGGGGGGGGTACACAGAGAGAGACGCGCACACACACACGCTTTTTAGCAGTACTGTGACATCACAGGACCAATCCAACCAACTGAGAGGCTCTTTGGTGACTGTGTTTCTTGTTCAGCTCGATCTTTACAAGGGCCCTAAACAAATATCTGGGTGATTGAAACCATGAATAAACTGACCGAAACATCAGAACACAGTTACAGACATTAAAGGAGAAAACCTCAGAGGCTTTTTCTGTGGTCTTAAAATAATTTTGCACTTCTTACGAAATGTGACATGTGCCTTTTAAAAGTTTTTCCCAGGAAGGCAGATCTGATTGTTTGGAACAATGACTGTGGCCAGTGGGGTGGAATGGGTTGTGCACCAATGTTATGGATGTTAGAGTCCCAGCCTTTGTCTCTGTGGGGATAGGAGTGGCATGGCAACAATGACAAATGGGAATAAGTCAATGTGGTCTATACTGCCAGGTTTAATAACATGACTGTCTTAGAGCAGCCTCCTGAGAGTTACAGTGGGGAGAACAAGTATTTGATACACTGCCGATTTTGCAGGTTTTCCTACTTACAAAGCATGTAGAGGTCTGTAATTTTTATCATAGGTACACTTCAACTGTGAGAGACGGAATCTAAAACAAAAATCCTGAAAACCACATTGTATGATTTTTAAGTAATTAATTTGCATTTTATTGCATGACATAAGTATTTGATCACCTACCAACCAGTAAGAATTCCGGCTCTCACAGACCTGTTAGTTTTTCTTTAAGAAGCCATCCTGTTCTCCACTCATTACCTGTATTAACTGCACCTGTTTGAACTCGTTACCTGTATAAAAGACACCTGTCCACACACTCAATCAAACAGACTCCAACCTCTCCACAACGGCCAAGACCAGAGAGCTGTGTAAGGACATCAGGGATAAAATTGTAGACCTGCACAAGGCTGGGATGGGCTACAGGACAATAGGCAAGCAGCTTGGTGAGAAGGCAACAACTGTTGGCGCAATTATTAGAAAATGGAAGAAGTTCATTTTCCATGTGTATTGTGTTCCGTCTCTCACAGTTGAAGTGTACCTATGATAAACATTACAGACCTCTACATGCTTTGTAAGTAGGAAAACTTACAAAATCGGCAGTGTATCAAATACTTGTTCTCCCCACTGTATATGATGTGGTCTATACTGCCAGGTTTAATAACATGACTGTCTTAGAGCAGTCTCCTGAGAGTTCTCTGATGTGGTCTATACTGCCAGGTTTAATAACATGACTGTCTTAGAGCAGTCTCCTGAGAGTTCTCTGATGTGGTCTATACTGCCAGGTTTAATAACATGACTGTCTTAGAGCAGTCTCCTGAGAGTTCTCTGATGTGGTCTATACTGCCAGGTTTAATAACATGACTGTCTTAGAGCAGCCTCCTGAGAGTTCTCTGATGTGGTCTATACTGCCAGGTTTAATAACATGACTGTCTTAGAGCAGCCTCCTGAGAGTTCTCTGATGTGGTCTATACTGCCAGGTTTAATAACATGACTGTCTTAGAGCAGTCTCCTGAGAGTTCTCTGATGTGGTCTATACTGCCAGGTTTAATAACATGACTGTCTTAGAGCAGCCTCCTGAGAGTTCTCTGATGTGGTCTATACTGCCAGGTTTAATAACATGACTGTCTTAGAGCAGCCTCCCTCACATCTCTAACAGAACCTATCTGATGTTAGTTAATGATAATGGTAGAAAGTCCCCAGTACATGAACATGAGAATTAATCCATAAAGAATCTGTTTTAGAGAAGCTCTCTGTGTCCAGCCTTGTCTCCCGTCCCCCTCCCCATTTGACCAACCTGCACATGGTTCCTATTACCCCAACCCCTTCCCTCTATTTTTCTTTGTCTGTCTCCCTCTCTCTCTCTACTCAGCCTGTTCTCTCAGCAGTCTTTCAGTCTCCCTCTCCACAGACTGTTCTCTCAGCAGTCTTTCAGTCTCTCTCTCCCTCTCTCTCTCCACACTCTTCTCTCAGCAGTCTTTCAGTCTCCCTCTCCTCTCTCTCCTCAGCCTGTTCTCTCAGCAGTCTTTCAGTCTCCCTCCCTCTCTCTCCTCAGCCTGTTCTCTCAGCAGTCTTTCAGTCTACCTCTCCCTCTCTCTCCTCACCCTGTTCTCTCAGCAGTCTTTCAGTCTCCCTCTCTCTCTCTCCTCAGCCTGTTCTCTCAGCAGTCTTTCAGTCTCCCTCTCTCTCCTCAGCCTGTTCTCTCAGCAGTCTTTCAGTCTCCCTCCCTCTCTCTCCTCAGCCTGTTCTCTCAGCAGTCTTTCAGTCTACCTCTCCCTCTCTCTCCTCAGCCTGTTCTCTCAGCAGTCTTTCAGTCTACCTCTCCCTCTCTCTCCTCACCCTGTTCTCTCAGCAGTCTTTCAGTCTCCCTCTCTCTCTCTCCTCAGCCTGTTCTCTCAGCAGTCTTTCAGTCTCCCTCCCTCTCTCTCCACAGCCTGTTCTCTCAGCAGTCTTTCAGTCTCCCTCTCTCTCCTCAGCCTGTTCTCTCAGCAGTATTTCAGTCTCCCTCTCCCTCTCTCTCCTCAGCCTGTTCTCTCAGCAGTCTTTCAGTCTCCCTCTCCCTCTCTCTCCTCAGCCTGTTCTCTCAGCAGTATTTCAGTCTCCCTCTCTCTCCTCAGCCTGTTCTCTCAGCAGTCTTTCAGTCTCCCTCTCTCTCCTCATCCTGTTCTCTCAGCTGCCTCGATCTCTCCCACTACATCCAGCGTTCCTCCTTCCTGAGAGTTAAATGTATACTATGTCAGTATAGGATATAGTGTTTCAGGCCTCCAGTCATATACTGAGCCCACTGGCACAGCTTTAAACAGAATGCCTGAGTTATTAGATATTTCCTATTCTAAACAGTGTCATCAAAGGCTAAAAACAAGAACCATATAAAACACAGTTCAGGGCTTCCATACAGTCCCTGTGCCAAAACCTCTCTCTTCTCCAACTAATGAGGAAAGGATGTGCTCTCTGTCTGTGTCTCTCTGTCTCTTTTTTCTACAGAAATGTAACATTTTCCAAGCATTGCAATAGAGGCAGTAACGACCACTAGACACTCTGCTCCATGTGTATTGTGTTAGGGGGAACTTGTAATTGGTTAAGGTATCCGGCGAACGCAAACATCCACCTCCTCGTCAGAACGGAAGAGGGTGAATAAGTAGAGCAGCTGCCGGGAGGAACAGAGAAGAAAACCACTGATTCTCTCTCTCTCTCTCTCTCTCTCTCTCTCTCTCTCTCTCTCTCTCTCTCTCTCTCTTCTCTCTCTCTCTCTCCTCTCTTCTCTCTCTCCTCTCGTCTCTCCTCTCTCTACTCTCTCTCGTCTCTCGCTCTCCCCCCTCTCTCCTCTCTCTCTCTCTCATCTCTCTCTCTCTCTCTCTCTCTCTCTCTCTCTCACTCACTCACTCACTCACTCACTCACTCTCTGTGGGTAACAGGGTTTCCAGCCCAGTCTACTCTGTTCCTCACCAATACAGCCATGAGACTGCTTGCTAAGATACTACTACTTTCTCTAAATATAGATAGATGCACATAAGAGGTTCTAGACCTATTATTTTCTTGGAAACAAATCAACATAATGTAAGTACTTCAGGAATTAGCTAACGAAGTTGTCAAGGTAGATGGCAAGAAGAATCCCCTGTAGCTCAGTTGATAGAGCATGGCGTTTGCAACGCCAGGGTTGTGGGTTCGTTTTCCCACGGGGGGGCCAGTATGAAAATGTATGCACTCACTAACTGTAAGTCGCTCTGGATAAGGGCGTCTGCTAAAATGACTAAAATGTAAAATGTAAGAATGGAGGGAAAAAGAACATAAGAAAACTTGCACGCACACAGTCACACACACACCCCTAGTATTGGCTGCTTCCATCGGTCTCCTAGACAGCTATTTGTCTCCCTTGTGAACACATCAAGGTTGTTATAATTACCATCCTGAACCTAGAAACATATCAGGAAGTAAAGTAACTTTTTCCACATGTTGTTGTGTTTCAGCCTGAATTTAAAATGGATTACATTTAGATTTGGTGTCACTACCCTACATACTGTACAATACCCCATAATGTCAAAGTGGAATTATGTTTTTAGAAAATGTTTACCAATTAATTACAAATGAAAAGCTGAAATGTCTTGAGTCAATAAGTATTAAACCATTTGTTATGGCAAGCCTAATATAAGTTCAGGAGTAAACATTTGCTTAACAAGTCACATACAGTGGCTTGCGAAAGTATTCACCCCCCTTGGCATTTTTCCTATTTTGTTGCCTTACAACCTGGAATTAAAATTGATTTTTGGGGGGTTTGTATCATTTGATTTACACAACATGCCTACCACTTTGAAGATGCAAAATATTTTTTCTTGTGAAATAAACAAGAAATAAGACAAAAAAACTGAAAACTTGAGCATGCAAAACTGCTCCAGCTCCTTCAAGTTGGATGGGTTCCGCTGGTGTACAGCAATCTTTAAGTCATACCACAGATTCTCAATTGGATTGAGGTCTTGGCTTTGACTAGGCCATTTCAAGACATTTAAATGTTTCCTCTTAAACCACTCGAGTGTTGCTTTAGCAGTATGCTTAGGGTCATTGTCCTGCTGGAAGGTGAACCTCCGTCCCAGTCTCAAATCTCTGGAAGACTGAAACAGGTTTCCCTCAAGAATTTCCCTGTATTTAGCACCATCCATCATTCCTTCAATTCTGACCAGTTTCCCAGTCCCTGCCGATGAAAAATATCCCCACACATGATGCTGCCACCACCATGCTTCACTGTGGGGATGGTGTTCTCAGGGGTGATGAGAGGTGTTGGGTTTGTGCCAGACATAGTGTTTTCCTTGATGGCCAAAAATATCAATTTTAGTCTCATCTGACCAGAGGACCTTCTTCCATATGTTTGGGGAGTCTCCCACATGCATTTTGGCGAACACCAAACGTGTTTGCTTATTTTTTTCTTTAAGCAATGGCTTTTTTCTGGCCACTCTTCTGTAAAGCCCAGCTCTGTGGAGTGTACGGCTTAAAGTGGTCCTATGGACAGATACTCCAATCTCCGCTGTGGCGCTTTGCAGCTCCTTCAGGGTTATCATGATCTCTTTGTTGCCTCTCTGATTAATGCCCTCCTTGCCTGGTCCGTGAGTTTTGGTGGGCGGCCCTCTCTTGGCAGGTTTGTTGTGGTGCCATATCATCCCGTGGGATGTTCAAAGTTTCTGATATTTTTTATAACCCAACCCTGATCTGTACTTCTCCACAACTTTGTCCCTGACCTGTTTGGACCGCTCCTTGGTCTTCATGGTGCCGCTTGCTTGGTGGTGCCCCTTGCTTAGTGGTGTTGCAGACTCTGGGGCCTTTCAGAACAGGTGTATATATACTGAGATCATGTGACAGATCATGTGACACTTAGATTGCACACAGGTGGACTTTATTTAACTAATTATGTGACTTCTGAAGGTAATTGGTTGCACCATATCTTATTTAGGGGCTTCATAGCAAAGGGGGTGAATACATATGCACGCACCACTTTTCCGTTATTATTTATTATAAATAAAAAAAATATTTCATTTCACTTCACCAATTTGGACTATTTTGTGTATGTCCATTACATCCAAATCCAAATAAAAATCCATTTAAATTACAGGTTGTAATGCAACAAAATAGGAAAAACGCCAAGGGGGATGAATACTTTTGCAAGGCACTCTGTGGTTAACATTAGTTTTATAATGACTAACTCCTCTATACCCCACACATACAATTAACTGTAAGGTCCCTCAGTTGAGCAGTGAATTTCAAACACAGATTCAAACACAAAGACCAGGGAGGTTTGACAATGCCTCACAAAAATGGCACCTATTGGTAGATGGCTAAACATTTAAAAAAGCAGACAATGAATATCCCTTTTACTTATGTAATGGAGCTAAGCACAGCCAATATCCTAGAGGAAAACCTGGTTCAGTCTGCTGGGAGATTAAATCACCTTTCAGCAGGACAACAGCCTAAAACTCAAGGCCAAATGTACACTGGAGTTGTTTACCAAGAAGACAGTGAATGTTCCTGAGTGGCCGAGTTACAGATTTGACTTAAATCACAGCTGTAATCGCTGCCAAAAGTGCTTCTACAAAGTCTTGACTCAGGGGTGTGAAAACGTATGTAAATGAGATATTTAATCTTCAATAAATTAGCAAAAATTTCTAAAAACATGTTTTCACTTTGTCATTATGGAGTATTGTATGTAGTTGAGTGAGAAAAAATATATGTTTAATCCATTTTGTATTCAGGCTGTAACACAACAAAATGTGGAATACGTCAAGGGGTGTGAATACTTTCTGAAGGCCCTGTATTCTCTGTCCTTATGGGCATTTTATCCACTGAGAGAGTCACATCCCAGGGGTGTGAAACCACACAAACCACGGATCTCAACATGCCAATCACTACGCAAACCACGGGTGTCAAAATGCTAATCACCCAGGACACATCTGTGTGACCTCTGACCCAGATCCTAGGAGAATAACTCAGACAAGGTACATTCCTCTAGAGGATGGAGAGTGGTGTCAGAGAGACAGGGTACATTCCTCTAGAGGATGGAGAGTGGTGTCAGACAGACAGGGTACATTCCTCTAGAGGATGGAGAGTGGTGTCCAGACAGACAGGGTACATTCCTCTAGAGGATGGAGAGTGGTGTCAGACAGACAGGGTACATTCCTCTAGAGGATGGAGAGTGGTGTCAGAGAGACAGGGTACATTCCTCTAGAGGATGGAGAGTGGTGTCAGAGAGACAGGGTACATTCCTCTAGAGGATGGAGAGTGGTGTCAGACAGACAGGGTACATTCCTCTAGAGGATGGAGAG